TTTTTTTTAAAAAAAAAAAAAAAAAAAAATGCTGTGTTTCTTTATTCAGCCGTGTATATATATGTAATGTATATATATATAATACAATATACAATGTAAAAATGTAAAATAAAAGTAAAAAAATCATGTATATATATATATATATAAATAAATTAAAAAATTTTTTTTTTTTCTCAAAAAAACTATTTTGTTTCTTTTTGGAAAAAAACTTTTTTTTTTCAAAAAAGAAAAGGACGATTTGTTGCAATAAATGGTTATTTAGTTTCCAAAAATTTTTTAAAATGAATCTTGTTTATTTAAAGAAATGAATAAATAAAGTAAAGTTAACATTTTGTTTTACTTTTTTTTTAAAAATTTGTTTTTATGTATAAAGTGTACTGATATATATATATGTGTATGTGATATTTATGTATATATGTATATATATATATATATATATATATATATGTATGTAAAATGTAAAACTTGATTCTAATCCGGATATTCTTTTTCGCTTAGTTTACCAAAAAAAAAAAAAAAATTTTTTTTTTTTTTTCACATCATAATTTTTTAGTTATTTTCTTTATTATCACCATTAATCCCTGATTACAGATTTATCACGTGTTTGATTCCAAATTCAAAGATTATAAGCCCTGTTTTAGGTTACTTTCTTAAAAGTTTAAATTATCTCTAAGCAAAACGTTCAAGTTTTGTATGTATTATAATGTAAATCATTTTAGTTAATATGTTAATTATGTTAATATAAGTTATTATTATATAATATATATTTACAATATTATCTTGATAATATTTATATTATATATCATATATCAGGATAATTGGATTGGACAAGCAAAAATGTTATTTATGCATACAAATCTTCAGCCAATATAAAATCCCTTTACGTTAATTTGTTTACTTTTTAGCCGTAATCCGAAACTTTTGTACGTATATTATTATAAAATACACTTTACCCAATATGTAAAATTCAATTTGCTTTGTTGAACACTGAATTGGTAAATCTAATACTTAAGTAATCATTATAAAAAAATAATTGGTTATTTTTGGAAGTTTGTGTAACAATAGTTTACCGTTAAACTGTAAGGTAAGAATATGATACATGTGTAGCATTTTTTACATTTTTTACACATTAATCAATCACTTTTAAAGAAAGTATTACACGTAACTTATTATATAATATATAGAAATATTTTGACAAAGAAAAAAAATATATATATATATTTTTTTTTTATATGTTACCAGGGTTTCAATAACTTCCTCTTTTTAATCGTTGTATTATTGTTTACAATAATCCCTTTTCTGTATAAATTAATTAATAATTTAGTAAGATTTTCGGCAAATTCTCGGTATGGTTTATCTAAAATACAATACATTAATCAAATAATCGAGTAAATCGAATGATGGAGTAATGAAGTAATGATTTTGTCAAGTTAACTTTATCGAAAAAAAAAAAAATGATTTTCATTTTTCATTTTTTCATTCATGTAAAATTTTTTTTTTTTTTTTTTTATCGATAAACGATAAACGTTAAATAATAATGTGATATTATAGTAAAGTGATTATACAGTATTTGGGATAATTAAATTTTATCAAAAAGCACTTTTATGGAAAATTGTGAAGCAATAAATTTTTGAACTTTAAAAATAAAAAAATATGGTTAACCGTATATGCTCTTATTCCTATCAGAAAATCCCCCTTGTTCTTAATAAGTAAAATTTCTTAAACAGTAAAATATTGTTTTTTGAACAAAGGACAAAGGACACAATTAACTATACCATATATGTACCGTTTACACTGATACATATGTCCATATATAATAAATATATGGGTCTATATTCGTTTAACTAAAAATTCTGTAACATTTTAAAATGCATACATTTAACATGTTTTCATTGTTTTCAAAGAACCTAAATATTTTTTCAGTGTGGTAACTGGTAAATATATGTGTATAATGTATAATAATGTGTATATAATGTGTATAATGTGATATATTACTTAATACACATTACGATAATCTCAATCATATAATACTATATGCATGACCCCATGGTATTACGAACTTTTATGAACTTTTAATTAAAACATCTCCTTTTAGTTTCATAAGTTTCATAATTACACGTAATTTTTCTTTTTCACGTATCGTTTTTATAACGATAATTATTTTAAATATTAATATTTAAATTATTTGATAATTATTAACTTTTGAAATCAAATTAAATATCAGTATATCACAAGGTGAATTTATTTATTTACTTTTTTATTTCATTGTATTTTACCTTTTTTGGACGCGTATAATCGGGTCCAAGTTATTTTGTCAATTTTCGTTTTTTTTTTTTTAATTAGCCCATAAAATAGAATTCTTTCTTGGAACAATCTATTTTCAGTTTATATTTAAATATATATATATATATATATAATTCGGGTGATATTCATTATATTCATTTCGAAAAAAAAAAAAAAAACGTGTATGAAAAATAAATTCTGATTGAACCACAATAAGTATAAATTTATCACTATTATTATTGTTATTGTTGTTGTTGTTGTTATTATTATTATTATTATTTTCATTCATCTCCTATTTATTTATCTAAATCTATGACTTCTTTCTATTTAGAATATTTTAGAAGTTTTTTTTCACATGGGTTATACTAAAATAACGTTTCTTACGTGATAAAGTTTTTCTTCCCATATTGTTCTTATGGGGTCATGTTATTACGGGGGTCATTTTTTTTTAAAAAAAATTAATTGGAGATTCAACTTTAAAAAAATTAATTGGGATTCAACTTTAAAAAATTAATTGGAGATTTCAATTTGAAATTTCAACTTTAAACGTTAAATAAACGTATGACATAAAAATCAAAAGATCATCCAAAGGTAACGTTCGCCTGTACTTACTGTGTTATCCTAATTTTACATAATTTTACATAATTTTATCAGAAAAACCTTCCCAATTAATAAGAACAATATATAAGATTATTATAAAATTAATCACAATATTTATATATAAATATATATAAAATATTTGGTTATTTCAATATTTATCGTTATACAAGTATGCTCGGTTCTTGGGTTATTCTCAATATTCTCAATATTCTCAATATTCTCAATATCGTATTACAAAAAATTCTTTTTTTGCTGAAAATGAAACTTCATTTTCATTGTTATTTCCTTTTTTTGAGATTTTTTTTTATATTATTTATTAGTTTATTAACCATATTAGGAAAGTAAAAAGGGAATAGAATTTATTATGAAAGAGATTTTTTTATTTTTTTTTTCTTGTGAAAAAGAATATTTTTTTTTTCTGTGTAAACTTGTGTAAACTGTATGATAAAATAAACAACGCGTTTTATTTTGAATTTTAACCCCCATTCAAATAAATATTATTATTATTTTTTTTTTCCTAGAAATCTTTTTTTTTTTTAAAAAAAAAATCACCTATAATAAATCGTTATCATTTTCTACTCCATTTATTTTTTCATTTATTCCTTTTCATTCATTTTAAACCATAATTAACAAAATCATTTATAAATTTTTTTTTTTTTTTTTTTTTATTCATTCATTCATTCTCTTATTTGTTTATGATTATTATTATGATAAATATAAATAAATTAATGTATCAAGTGATCTTATCTACTTTCATTGATTGTAAAAAAAAAAAAAAATTAAAAATAACAATCAAACCAAATCTACTTATTATTATATATCTACATATCTCTTTTTTCTTTTCAATGAAATCTTAAAAATATTTTTGGTAGTTTATGTAGTGTAGATCTTTTTTTTGCGTCATCGAATTTTTGCGGGAACTTTCTTTTGTCCAATTAAAAATCGATCTTTTTGAGAAAATCTATGTATCAAATTTTACTATACATAGATTCTATATATTTACATTTTTTTTTTAAAAATAATCATACTATTTCCTATTTTTGTTTATTTATATAAAAACGTGTAAATTTAATCTCGTTAATCTTGTTAATCTCTTACTAAAATGTAAAATATAATCAAAAAACAAAAAAAGAATCAGAGAAACTGTTATTTTTGAAAAAAAATCTATACTTGAACGGCGTCTTCTTATGACGTTTTCGTCAAAATGACAGATTACTATTCACAAAATACATTGAAAATTAACGGGTGATTGCAATTGTAATTCTAATTGAATTGTTACGATTCGTTTGTGATCCACTCCATTTTATTAATTTATTTAAGTTATTGGTAAGTGATTTTATGAATAGTTAAAGTAGTAATTCTGATTCTTTAACCTGAAATTATGTTATGATTCGGTTGCTTGGCACTTTGTGAATCTCGACACGATGATCTCTTTTTTAATTATCAATTTATCGCTAATTTATTCAAGTTATTGCCAAGTATTTGACGCTCTGTGGCGATTTTGCTAATCCCGACACGATGATCTCTTTTTTAATAACCAATCCAGTTTAACATTAATTTATTCAAGTTATTGCCAAGTATTGAGGTGAGTAATATTTCTAACTTGAAATTATGTCACTTTGGCACTCTTTGCGATTTTACTAATCCTGACACGATGATCTCTTTTTTAATTATCATTTTATCGCTAATTTATTCAAGTTATTGCCAAGTCTTTGGCACTCTGTGGCGATTTTGCTAATCCGACACGATGATCTCTTTTTTAATAACCAGTCCAGTTTACCATTTAATTTATTCAAGTTATTGCCAAGTATTGAGGTGAGTAATATTTCTAACTTGAAATTATGTCACTTTGGCACTCTTTGGCGATTTTGTTAATCCCGAGAAAATAACATGATTATTACTTTTCTGATTTATTTAAATTATTTGTTTCCATAATCAAATAAATAGTAAATTCTGGTTCTATAAGTTATAACCTTATAATATGTCCTCAATTCGGTTGCTTATCATTGAGTGGTTATCCCGAAACAATTTTGTCTATCCCGAGACAATCATTCAACGATCTCCTCTTTTTATACTTTATATACCCACTTATCTCCTAGTTTATTTAAGTTAATTTGCAAGGGTTTTCTGAACAGGTGAGTAAGACATACGCGCAGTGTTATAAATTCAAAAAATTCTTATACGCGCATATCATTAATAAAATTCATATGCGCAACCTACTAATTTCATATGCGCTTTATATAATGATAGACGCTACTAAGAAAAATGCCGCCTAATATTTTCAACGAAATACGCGGGAAATAAAAGTATTATACGCTGCGCCTACTATGCGAATCCAATTTACATCACTGCCCGGAAGACGTACTTAATCAATTCTTAGCCGTGACGTCAGAGTCGTCAGATGCAAGGAAATGTTTACGCTCTCTGGGAGACGGATAATTACGAGTAAACTTGACTAACTGCCCGTTCTAAGTAGTTCAACTTGAAAATATGTCTCAAGCATCGAGTGGCGATTTTGTTCATCCCGAGAAATAATGGTATATTTATGGTGTAAAAATTTCTTTGGAGGAATATGATATATTTGGATATTGTAAAAGTCTTAATTGCTGCTAACGAACTAAATCTTCAAGAATTAATTCAACGATCTCCACTTTTTTATTCTCTCTTAGTTTATTTAAATGGGTTTTCTGAACAGGCGAGTAGTAGTTCAACTTGAAAATATGTCTCAACTCGGTTGCTTAGCATTGAGTGGCGATTTCGTCCGTCTATCCGAGAAAATTCAATGATATTTATGTGTAAGGGTTTTATGAACAGGTGAATAATAATTCTGGTTCTTTATCCTGAAAATATGCCACAATTCGTTGCTTAGTATTGGATGGCGATCTTATTTAACCCGAGAAAATGGATGTACCGTAACCGAGAAAATGACATGCATGATCTCTTTGATTGGCACTCTAATTTATTAATTTCCTAATTCAATCAAGTTATTGATGAAAAGGTATTAAAAGGTATTAATATTTCTGGTTCCATATCTGTCTCTTATACACATCTAGATGTGTATAAGAGACAGGGCGAATAGTAAATCTGGTTCTTTATCCTGAAAATATGCCAGAAAATGACATGTATGATTTTGTATGATCTCTTTGATTGACCCTCTATTTTATTAATTTCCTAATTCAATCAAATTATTGACAACCGTTTTATGAAAAAAGATACTGGTTCTATATCCTGAAAATATGTTCTCAATTCGGTTGCTTAGCATTGTGTGGCGATCCCGAGAAAACAATTCAACGATCTTACTACATTTTATTATCTTTTTGTTTATATAGATTAATTTAAAAGGGTTTTATGAACAGGGTAAGTAATTCTGGTTTTTTAACCTGAAATTATGCCACAATTCGGTTGCTTAGCATAATTTATTAATTTTTTTAATTTATTTTTATTTACAATTGTTAAAATAAAATTTTAGATCCTTTATTATAATCCCGAATGAATTATTTATTCAGCCTTCACCTTGTTACTTATACTTGGATTTGAAAGTTGGTTGATTTTGATTCGCTCTTAGTATCTCTTATTCCATTTTTAGAAATTGATTAACAATTAACACATCATCGTGACTTATATTACAATTTTTTTTAGGTCAAAGAAATAGTGAACAATTTTTTTTATTTAAAAACTGGAATTTAGAATTCGTGCGGTTATGGAATTCGTATAGAATTCATTATGTATATATTTAGATTATTTCAAAAGATTGGGTGTTTAAAAGATTGATTCAATTTAAAGATCTTTGACTTGCGATCTTATAGTCTTAATTAAGTGACCGAAATACACCGAAACATCAACCAGTTAACTTAAGTAAATATTTTTATATAATCCAAATACTTTTAAGTTATTCCGACAAAGATTAATCAATATATAATTATTAATTAATTATATAAATTTCTTGAATAATAAAAAAATAAATCGAATTCAATACCTTTTTTGATATACAATACAATAATATAGTAGTATACTTACTATACAGTATATAATTGTAAAATAAGATTTAAATCACAATGCAGTGTACCCTTCTCTACAATACATCCTTCTAAAATGTACTCTTTAAATTAAATCCAATCTATAAACGTATGCATGCTCATGTTTGGCTAATGATAAGGTCTGTATATGGTTGGTTTCATTTCGCCATCGGCTTGAACCTAAGGGGTTTACCGTGGAAGATCCGAAAAAAAAAAAGATCGGTATGTAAAAGATCCATGTAGCCATTTGAACAATTTTCTAACATAGATTAATCTGCAAATAAAAAAGTACTTACGTTATTTTTTTTTTCAAACCCGATCTAGTAACGGCGATTAAGAATTTCATCACACCATGCTTGATGATTAGTGTGAAATCGGTGAAAAAAAATTATTGGATTGAGAAGACTGAATCGAAAAAAAGATTGATATAGTCGATATAGTCTAACTCATTTTTCGCTAACTCATTTTTTTTCGAATTAAAAAAAAAAAAAATCAAAAATTTTGAGAAATACTTTGGGGTTTCAAAGTGATTTCGATCAGCGTAGTAAATGTTGCTTATTTTTCCCATTTTTTTACGATATGTTCTTTTAATACAATCAAGTCGTGATGCTTCTGATGTTAGTATTTATGGTTGATTACGAAAAATATATTTAAAAGTACTTTTCCCTATATTTTAAAAGTATGCAATAAATCAAGCCCGCCATCCTCGATGATTTTTTTTTTTAAATCCAATCCTACTATACTAATCCGTACCCTAAACCGCTGATTCTATATATACAAAGTTCAAAGACATAGTAGATTTGCTTACTCTGAACCTCCTAAAGTTACCAAATTAAATCATAAAATAAACGCGTTACTTTCACGAATAAAAAAATCAAAAACTATCCTTACTTATTGTAATCGTATTACTATGATGTCGAAGCACAACAATCAACCATAAGACACCACACCACTCTTAAGACACCATTCCTTTAAGACACCACGACACCACTCCTTTAAAGATACTTTTGTCAAGATCAAAAAAAAAAGGTAATAAATAAATTTTTTTTTTTATTAAAATATATATATAAATCTAAAAGATTTATAAAAAAAAAAAAAAAATTACCCATAATAAAAAAATAAAATAAAATGAAAGATAAATAAAATAAAAAAAAATGAAAAGCAAAATGATAGTGATAATAAATATAATAATCAATAATTTAGGAAATAGCCATTAAATACATAATTTTTTTTTTGTCATAATAAGTTGATTAAGTGATGATAGGGTGATAGTGTTTTTTTTTCCTGTAATCATATATAGTCCCATAAAATATTCCCATTTTCCATATTAAAGTCCTATATATGAACATAATTATGTATCCATCTCTCGTATACCATATAAAAATTTGATAAATGTTTGTTGAATGAAGAAATATTTATGACACCCGTGTCCTAAAAAAAATATTTCACATTCAACCATGAAACACTTCCGAATAATTCGTTATTCTACCCAAAATCTTAATTTCCTGAATCATGTTAAAATGTATATGATATATATAATGTAGAAAATATAAAAATTAACGATTCCCACCAAAAAAAGATAAAAATAAAAAAAAATCGTATATATATATATATATGTGTATTGTCAAAATAATAATAATAAAAAAAAAATAATTGATGATAATTAAAAACATCTAATAATTGGATGGTTTGTTAATACCGAAAAGTCTTATCAAAAAAAACTTTCAGTAATGTTGCATGTCAAGTCCAACATTAACTTCCTTCATTTCATTATTTATAACATTACCATCAATATGATTAAAGTGATTTTCTTCAAATCCAAACCCAATAGAAGAAGGAGTACTGTTTTCATTACCACCACCGAACTTTGGTATGACACCACAATGGCCACTTGAACGTCGAGATAAGACAATTAAGGCATCTTTATTGGACAAATATTGTTGATTGTCGCTACCAGTAGCGATGATCTGACCGTTTTCGTTTTCATTTTCTTTCTTCCTCATTCGTCGAGGGATCTTGTTTAAAATTCTCTGATGAGTCTCATTTGAGGATAAATGACCATATCCCTCATAAACAATTTGGGAATCATTATCACTCGTATCCATAAACACATACCTTTGTGAAGGATGAATATTTTGTAATCCATTATTCCTTAGAGTATCACTCATCATATTTGGACCCGTATCACTATCTTGTTCAATGGAATCAAGGGACATTTGATTTGATCTTGAATGAGTCTTTGTTGACGTGGTTGGAGGAAACATTGACATTGGTGAAGAAACTGGAAGAGTAGATTGTCGCTGTGGTGGTGGTGGTTGGTGTTGGTGTTGATGTTGAGAATAATAATCAGCGGCGGATGTAACTACTGTCGTAGATGATAAAGCTGGGGTAGATGTAGATGAGGCTGTTGTAGGAAGAGGAATGTTTGGTGTTATATTGTTCATATTATTATAAGGATTATTAAATCCACCAACTCCACCGACTCCTCCGACCAAGTTATCCACTCCGATATCCCAAAACTGTGGTTCATTGGGTGAAATTTCATTTCCCATCATGATCGTGGGTGATTGCATTTGCATTGCGAATTGATCAAAAATTGGATTCACTGGCATATATTGTTGCATTCCACTTTGATTTTGAATATAAGCGAAACTTGACGGATGTGGATGAATATTAGCTGAAGAAGAACTAGATTCTCTTTTTGGGTCCATCGATTGCATTTGTTTTGAAGATGATGATGAAATGGATTCTGAATATATTTGATTCGACATTGTTGGTGATATTTTAATATGTGATGTTGCAGTTGCTGACGGAATTTCAATAGTCTCTTCATTAGAAAATCTATCTTGATTTGACATTAAAACATTTTCTAAAGCTGTGATCATTTGATTCGCTAATTCTGCCATAATATTATTTTGTTCATAAAATCGACAAATTTTTATAGTCTTTATAATATTTTTGAATGCGTTTATTGCCAAACCACGTTGTGGTGAGGTAAGATTAATAACATGAACTTTGACAGCTTTTCCCAAACTATAAAACATTATCGGGAATGTTATGCATACATGAACATTGTTAAGAGCTTCAACTATAAAAAAAAAAAAAAATATCAAATAAATAAATAAAATATAATATATATATATATATATTTTTTATCTGAAATTAATATACTTACCACCAATATGAGTTATTACATTAGCAGCACTACTACAATAATTAAGTGATTTGAAATAAGTTTTTGATGTACGAATATTGGGTGAACGAGAATTATTTTGTGATGCAATATAAGGATAATGAAGCATCAAATATAAAGTTTGATGATGCATATGCAAAGAAGCAATTTGTCCAGGAAGTGGCATATGTTGTGGTGAAGGAGTATACTGTAAAAATGGTGGTAATTCTCTAAGCCAATTAGACAATGAATTTTCAAAATTATTAACCATGGAATGATGATTCCAAGATGCTGGCATACCAATACATGAAGTAGATTGTAAATGTTCAATAATTTGACCGATAATTCTTGCTAATTTTATAAAATTAATGAAAATATTAATTTGTTGTGCGTACGTTGAACTATAATTTGGAGAAGGAGAATTTTGTTGTTGAGAATTTTGTTGTGATTGATTATCATCATCTTGATCATCTACTTCATCCAGTGAAGGAAATTCGATATCACACATCTTGTCATTTATTGTTAATGGATCTCCATTAGCAAGACTATTGAGCCTATCAGTAATAAAACATCCCCACCAAATTAATTTCTTTGTTTGACGACCTTTTCCTCGATAAACAGGACCGTTCCTACGATTTAATCCCATACTTTGTGCCATCCTGATGGCCATTGATGAATAGGTTTGTGGTCTGTAAGAAGATGGTTTACCTTGATCAACCATACATAATAAAATCAATGCTTGAACAGTTGATAATCTTGGTACATCAATAAAATGATCCAGTAAACCTTTAAAAAAAAATGAGAAATAATCATAATTATTATAGTTGAATATAAAAAAAATTTTTTGAACAAATAATTAAACAAAACATCAAAAAGTAACTCTTTCAATAAAACTTACTTCTGGCACGATCATAAAACACTAAAGAATTATTAGAATCTTGAGGAATTGGAGGATACATCGCACCAATAGCATAAATAGCATTAAGCAATAATGGAGAAGGTTGATCTGACACATTAGGGCTAGACATCATTTTAAATAATTGTCCACGATTAATTATAGGGAAATAAGGATGAAAATGATTAAAATATTTTTCCAACAATTGTCTTGAAATTTCGGGAGGAGGATTTGATAATGTTGGAATTGAGGATGATATAGGAGGATCAACGTAAGAACCACCTTGTTGTTGATTATTTGGTAAAAGAAATGATAAAGTACTACTTTGCAAACTATTCGAAGAATTTGGTGAGACCAAATTATTAAGGAGTATATCCTCATCATCACTACCAAGATCATCACTAAATCCTGGTATTAAACTTGGGGATTGATCGGAAGAATAATTTGCGTCAGCTGGTGGTGTCGTAGGAATAAATAAATGAGGTGATGATTGTGTGGCAGGTGCGATAACATTCATCGGGGAATATTGACGTATTTTAAAGGTTGAAAACCTTTGTCTTTGGCTTGACTCTTCAATAGCATTATCTCTCTCTTTTTTTATCTCCTTATTATTTTCGTTAATATTATCCTTATTAACAAGATTTACCAAGAGGGATTCTATGGTATGTAATCTATCTTCAATCAGAGCAACAAACCCCTTCGGAGGACCTCGTGGTCTTTTGGTTGACGCATCACTAAACGTGCATTGGTAAGCTATAAATTTAATAATAAAAAAAGAAATAAAGTTAAATAAGGTTAGAAATTAATTAGATAATTATTGGCGTGAGAATTAGGAAATGTAGCGCGATTAAAACAAGTAAATGTTTTATCGCGTGACGTCGAAATGATTGGCACAAAAAAAAAAGAATAACAAGGTACGAAGAATAAACAATACGAATTAAGGCATATGTATGACAAATAAATAATAATAAGAGATTTCAAACCTCCGCGTGTACAATTTGCACATGGAGAAGCTCCATCACATTTAACCTTTCTTCTACGACACGTATCACAGGCCGTAGTAATCTTTACACGTTTATTTTCATGGGATTCTGATTCGTCAACGATCATGTCGTCCAAAATAAACAAACTCATCTTTTTAGTAAAGAAAGTATTTCGATTGATGGATCTTTTTTTGGTGAGATTAAAAAAGGTTAATTTTCACTTTGGAAATTTCTATAATATTATGGGAGGAGATAAAGAAAATTCTTTTTTAGGAAATAAAAAATAATAAAAAAAAATGATGCTTTTGTTATCTATATCAGTAATGCAAAAGAAAAAAATATAAAAAAAAAAAAAATTTAAAATGAACTATTTGACAAATGAAATATATAACAAAAAGAAAAGAAAAAAAAACAAAAATAATGAAAGAAAAAATTATATATATATATATATATGAATGGGATAAAATTGCAGTTATGTATTTATAAATGAAAGGATGATAAAGAGGGAGAGATATAAAAAGTGTGTAAAAAAAAGATAATTTTTTTTTTTTTTTTTGTCGAACTCAAAAAATTCTTATGATAATCAAGTAACGATAAAAAAACTTTCTTAANCGATAACAATTAATAACTTTCTCTTTTTTTTTTTTTTATTATTATTATTATATTTGATTTAGGATCGAATCACGCCTTCTTGAACTTTTTTTTCTTGATTATAAAAAGAAGTTAGCGAAACATTCAATGTGCAACTTCTTTTCAAAAAAAAAAAAAAAAAAATTAAAAAAAAAAATAAAATAAAACTTAAGAGAATTTTTTGTTGATTTGTTGTTAAATATATTGTTTTAGTTCCTAATTGAAAGGTGTGATCATTATTTACTTTTTTTTTTCTGTAAGAACCGCAGTAATTTTTTTTATTGTTTTTTGAAAAAATATTAGGTCGTTAAATAATATTCAAATCTTCGTTTTTTTTCTTTTATCTTTCTTTTTGAAGAGAATAAGAAAAAAAATAAATAAATTTGATTAAAATTTCATCAAGCGGGGAACCGATTAAATCAATTTTTTTCGATTCGATGACAGGAAAAATTGTAAGGCGTTATGTTATTGTAGTGACGTGAGTTAAAAAAAGTAATCGACTTTATAATATTGAGCCGTGGTATCAATAGTGAAAGTAAGAGTACAAAAATAATAAAAATGTTAAGATTATATTACACACTTTTAAACGACGTTAAAGAGCTTAACGGTCATGGACAATAACAGGAGAAATTAAAAGAAGAGGAGCCCCGTTGAAATAATCGTACACGGCCACTTTTTTTTCAAGAAAAAAATGGGAGAATAATGGAAAAAAAGAAAGAAAGAAAAGCGATTCAAAATTATGGCAATATTTATAAACGAAAATAACGCAAGTCGTACCAAAAGTTGTTTTTAGGAAATAAATTTAGGAGCTCAAGTCCTTTTACTGGTATTAATGATAAACAATCGATTGCCTATAAATGCAAATGTGTAATTTATTGTGCATTAATTAGAGATCTGCAACATAAGTTTGGAGTATTTATTTTTAAAGAAAAAATATAAATTTAATGGGTTATTTTAAAAAAAAAAAATAATCATGCTCATCCAATTTCATCCAATAATATTTTATTTAATGTTTACTAACGAAAATTCTTTTTTTATATGAACCCTCGGTTATTTGCGAATGAATACTCAGGATTTGTTGAAATAAGCAAGTAACTAAACTGCACAGCAAAATGCGTTATGATTTCAAACTTATTTTTTTCCAACCATTTTTAACTACAAAAATTTTAGTATATATATAAATTACTAAACTTTTTCATAAACTTTTGTGAAACTTTTTTAGACTATTTTTTAGACTATTTTTTAGACTATTTTTTATACTATTCTTTATTTTTTTTTTTTTTTTTCTTAAAAAAAAAACAAAGAATAAAAGTTACATCAATGTTTTTATTTCTCAAACAATCTTGACCACATGGGCATGATGTGGTATATTTGTTTTACATTTTGTTTGTCATATAATTTTCGTAAATCTGTATGTTTTAGCGTTCCTCATTGATTTTATACTATTAATTGGATGAAATCCATGCTGAGAACTTAAAAGAAATATAATATAAATATCTGAACGTATATTTTCATTTGTAACACTGGACCTCATGTCTCCTCCTTTATATTCCACAAATTCCTAATTAAGGTAAGATTTAATTAGTAATAGCCCAAATCTTAATGATGATTGTTACATCTGATTTTTATTTGCACCTCTTAAAAGTTGTACTCTTATTCACATCATTTATCATCACACCCAAACCTTAAAAATTTTTTTAAATGCCAGTTATATGAGTTATATGAGTTTATTAAACTCCTATTCAAATAAAATAAGGGTTAGACAAACCAGAATCGTGTTTTTTTTTTTATATTATTATCATCACTATTATCACTATTCTCAAATATTCCCATATTTTTTCACAAGAGAAAAATTGTATTTGTAAAGAAAAACTTTTGAAAAAAATTATTTTTTTTTTTAAAAAAAAAAAAAAAAAATTTAATGATAAGAAATCATTAAAATTTTTATCTTATAGACGATTAAAAATGATAAAAACGATATTCATTTTTCAAATCAACAGGATCAGGTAAATTTTTTGTCCTTTTTGTACTTTTTAATGATAAATGAATCTTTTTATCTCTTTGCCTTTTTGTTATGAACAAAGAAATTAAGGGGAGGTAAATTTTTAGATCTAATCTTTTTTCACATTTTATCCAATAAATTTTAATTATGATGGCTTCACAATGAAATGGTGACTTAATTTTTTCAATGAAAAACGTGTTTTGTGATTTAATCCCGTTAGATTCTTTTTTATTAATGATATCATCTGTTTATCACCTACAGGAAATTTTTTTCGTTTTTTACTTTGTACTTTTGTTTTCTTTGTAAAACTATAGAAAAAAAGGACAAAAAAAGAACAAAGAACAATCATAAAAAATAATATTTCTTGATTGGCTCAGGTTTAAAACTTTAAAAATTTATGAATACAAGAAAAAAAAAAAACCATGTAAAAAACCTTCTCTCTGGTTTAAACAGGATAACAAGGTAATTCAAAGATCAAATCTAGAAAGTAACACATTTACTTTAATCGTATGTGATATATTTTTCTTTTCACTAATTTTAAGGGATTTATTTTTCCCGAAATTAAAAAGATGTTAATAAAAATTTCCGAAAAAAAAAAAAAAGAAAAATATTTATTATTTATTTCATTATAACGGATTTACAGCATTATAATTTAGCCAAAATTATAAAAGATATTCAAATATAAATACTGCGGTTTACCGTTAAAAAATTAACAAATTTTATTTTATTTTTTTTTTTTTTTATACATTTTGTGAAATCTAAAATAATATTATAATAAAATTTTATTCAAAAAATTACCAAATTCTATAAAAAAATTTTTTGTGTTAAATGAAATGAACCAGTTAAATGAAAATAATACAAATAAAACCCTTCAAACCATAACACAAGATACAAACATTACATCATTGTTATTATATTTGAAAGAACGTCTTTAAATGGATCATATCATAAACTAGTAAGACCATGAGAAAGACTGAAATAGTAAATTTTATGATTTTGCATGCAAAGTACCAAAGTACAAAATATATATGTATAGAGAAGATAATATAGTTACGCGTTCATATACTGAAACATTATATGATTCGCGATGGTATAAATTCGCACGTTTGTTACATATTTATCGTTCCCATATATTAATGCATTCGGATATAACCCTTTTAATGGATTTATTGTGGCCTAAATTTAATTAATAATATTAACTTAAATATCGAAGATAGAAATAACGCGTAAAAACAATTTATCTAAAAAAAAAAATTGATTTATTCATTCAATGATACATGTTTACTTTACTGTTTACGTCAAATAAATAATAAAAAGCGATTCTTAAAACATAATCAAATCAATTATCAAACAGAAGATCAAGTTTTCTATATATAATATCATTCATTATATCTTAACGCCGAAAAAAACAATTGCACATCTAAACAAAATTAGCATACATTATTTGTAAATAATTCTATCTTAAGAATCTTCTTACCAAATTTATTCTTGTAAAAATTAATTAAGAATTCCGAAATCTAACCGGTCTTTCTCTATATTTAATAAAGGAATTTTATATCTACAATTGTAAATTGGTTAAATGTTTCATCTCATGAAGAAAGTGCATTAAAAATTATTAAAATTCTTTTTAAGATTCCCTCCCTGCTTTACTATATTTAGTTGTTAACTTTTGAAAAAAAATCTAAAAATCTAAAAATCTAAAAAATTTCAAAATTTTAAATTTAATCATGTCATGATCACAATACTGTGCAGTTCGGTGAGTCTTCTAAACTTAGATTCTTGGATTCATTATTTTATTACCTTTATTGTCTTTTTTTCTTTGTTAGTTGGCACTTATTTTTTTTCTCATGGCACAAAAATATTATAATTTGATAAATATTTTAAGTTCATATTATTTGTTCCACAAACCAATTTTTTATAAAAAAAAAAAGAGATTTTGTTCCAAGATATCAAGATATGAAGATTAGGATAACGGGGAGGAAACAGGATAACGGGTAATGGAATAACGGGTAACGGAATAATGGGTAACTGAAAATGGGTAACTGAAATAGATATCGAATCATCTTCTTTTCTTCTTTTCTAAATATTTCTCCACGAAATTAATTAATTCATAGTAAAAAAAAAAAAAAAGAAAAAAATTAAAATTGAGTTATAGTAAATGTATGATTATTATCTAAAATTATTTAGTTCAAGAAAGAAAACTAACGAATTTAGTTTCTTCGTTAAGATTAAGAGGAATATAAATTGACTATATATAAATATATATATATATATAAACTATATAAACTGCATATCGTTTAATATGTCTGATGTCATGTGGTATATGTGGTATTTTCATATTTTTCTTGGCTAAACTTATAATTCGGCCAGAATTTAACCATAATTATGTACATATTTGTAATAATTCTAATGACGTATGGCCAATCAGTTTCTAACTTTCAATAATAAATATAATAAATATATTATTATTCTATTTTTATTATCTTTTTTTTTAAAAAAAAAAATTACGAAAGCAAGCAAATTAGCGAATCTTTTAAATTTATTTGAAGTTGATTCATGCAAAATGTATTTTTTTTTTAAATTCGAAATATGTAGCGCAGTACCTGTTATATATTCGGATTAATGTGCAGTATTGTACGTAATACGTGTTAAATTTTTAATTAGGGTAAGGTACAAGATCATTTCACGTTTTACAAACAATAAAAAAAAAATGACATATTCTAAGCACAAATAAATAATGTAAATAAATCAAGATGACAGCTTCTACGCCTGATTTGCAGGCTATGTAAAAAATTTTATCTCTTTTTGTAATCCAATTAACAATTTCAAAAATGTCAATTCATCCACCAAAAGGATGATTATTATATTATCACGTGATTTTTAATCAATTAGACGAATTCAGAAAGTAACACAATAATAATCATTATAGTTGTTATAATACATTTTAATTATAAAAGGAAAATTTTAATTTATAATATTTGTAATTTGTCATTCTATAATGAAAATATAAATAAAACTCGAGAGATTTACAAAAAAAAATGGCTTTTTTTTCTTTTTATCTATTTATAAATTTTCCTTTTTGATCTCCTTATAAAGGACGAACAATGCGTTGAAGATCATGTTATTGATTTATATAATTTTGGTTAATAATAAAATAAAAAAAACTTTCATTGCAACTTCGTAACCGGTCTCAAGCCCCTTTTTAAGAGGTTGGTGAAAATAAAGTTTATGATCTCACAGTTATTATTTTCCTGTTATGGTCTTTTATTATAATTAAAATTTTTCGGATTTTTTCCTTATCTACTAAATTCATTTATTAGAATGAGTTAATCAAGAAGGGAAATTTTTAATTTTTTTTTTTTTTTTTTTATGTAAATAATTTACTATTTTTATACACGTACAATTTAGGAAAAAGTTTATTTCAACTTCTTTGTTTAGCGTTTATTTTTATAAATGTTTTTTTTTTTTTTTTGTACAAGTTTAATAAATAACCCGTTATCCGGGGTTTTACCTCTTANTTATTTTTATAAATGTTTTTTTTTTTTTTATGTACAAGTTTAATAAATAACCCGTTATCCGGGGTTTTACCTCTTAAGGTCACAATGGACATTTTTAAACCCAATTCCTTTTTTTAAAAATAGATTTCATATACTAAGTATTATTGTACACATAATATGTGAAACTATTTAGTATATTAATTATTACATATTTATACGTATATTATATTATATATATACTGTATATATACATGTATATATATATATATAAATGTACTTATATATACTTATTATATATACTTGTATAATGGATTATGTAGAAAATACGATTTGTTCCCTTTTTAAATTTGAGAAATATGAAAAAAGGATTGGTAAGATAAAATTAAATTATATAATACAATTAAAAAAATATTTGATAAAATAAAACATTGTCAAGAATAAGCATTTAATTCAATTGTGTATGAACGTGATTCTTTTTTTTAAAAAAAAAATTCCGAAAAATTACTTTAAGAAAAAAAGGTCTTTTTTTTTAAAAATAAGATAAATTACTGAATCTTTATAATTCTTTTTTAATTACGTTAACAATGTTTATAAACTTACATTATTATATATTGGCCAATAGTCTGAAAAACTCAATGGCCATAACTCAATATTTTTAATTTATAATTTATATAATATTTTATAGTGAGAACTGAATTCGGAATTATAGATATGAATTTTACGTTCCTCTAACCAATACACCAAAAAGTTACAATCATGGTTTGTTCCAATAAATATTGTTCTTTCGACCACGATTTATCATCAAATCCAAACTTAATTGGTAGAAATCGCACCAAATTAACGTTGTTTCTAGTTGTTGTACAATATACGCATTATATGCAATATTGTAATATGCGTAATATGCGTAATATATACGTAATTTTTATAGTACTTACTACACCTCATAGTCATAGTACTTACGTTCATGATATTATTTGTACTTGACGGTATAATTATCTGACGATATTTATCTTGAAAGGTATAGTATGTTATTTGAAATAATTATTTTATTAATTACTTTAATAAAAGTTTCTTAATTTCTTTAGCATCAATTTAATTTATTATTATAGGCGATAAATTATGTAAATTATGCTTATAGATAAAATTAAATGACATTATGTCAATTGATTCAAAAAAGAAAGAAATTTAATTGAATTTAATTGAATTCTAATAAATGTATGAAATTCGTGTCTTTGATTTATTGGATTTCGGTATCTTGGAATTCGGTATATCGATATATATTTTATTTTAGTTGACGATTCTTGTTCATGAATCATTATCATTCATTAATTGATTTTCTTTAATTTAAAATTATCAAATCAGAAAAAGTTTTTACTTCAGTTTTATCCCCGAAATTAATGATTTCGAAACGAGATATAAGATTATTATCAGCATTCTTCACTTTCTTAACGTTATGGAGTGGACTTTTAATGTTGAAATTCGATACATAAGAATCATCAAGTGGGTATCAATCTACTTAATCAACTTTAAAAGCATTAGAAGTAAGTGGACAAATAATACAATGTCACGTTACTTTTGCGTTTTATCTGAAATATTTAACCAGGATTCTTCTTTCATAATCTCAAATCCTTTCCATGAAAATACTTAACAAATTATTAATTATAATGGTATTAAAATGCAACACAAAAAGTCGATCTGCTTTTTAATAAGTGATTTTTTTTTCAATTCTATAAATTACAGTGTTTTTAATGCGTGTAATTAAGAAATTTAGAAAATTTAAGATTTGAATCTTGAATTTGTGTTTTTTTTTCCTTACTTCAGTTTCCTCCATTTTTTGTAATCTGAATTTCTGAAATAGATCAAAATTTAAAAGGATAAGGATGGATCAGAATATGCGAGGTGTAGAACGAAGAATACTTTGCTTGCTTAAAAAAATTTAACAATTTAACTGAAATAGCAATTAAAAATATGATATCCATATTACAAAAATTTTTTAGAATCCAAGAGACATATCAGATAATAGTAAATTTTGATAATTAGCTTCAAACATCAGAACAAAAATATATATATATATATATATTTGTTCATAATAATAAAATTAAGATATTTACTTAAAATCTGATCAAATACATATTTCTTTCCTTTCCAAATAGTATTATTTACTGTTGCAATTTTATTTTAAAAAAATCGATAATCTTTCTTTTTTTTTTTTTTTAAAAAAAAAGGAGAATATTAACCAGTTTTCAACCTAACGATCAAAAAAATTTCTAAATTTTTTTTGTACTGATCTGAATTAAATTTAATACATTTAATGTTAAAACTCTATAAAACCTAAGGAATTATTAACAATCTTCGAGGGTTAAAAAAATATGGCCGGAATTATCATTAATTCGGAATTAAATATTCTAAATTCGGACAAAATTTCACATTCACGTGATCTGTATCTATTGTTACATTTTTTTTTATTTTATTTGTTATTTTTACAATTATATTAAACTCTTTATCAATAATTAAAAAATATTAGAAATTCCTTTAAAATTAAACCAGTTTATGTATTATAAAAATTAATTCTTTAAAAAATTTACTAATTACATGATTTCAATTTTTTTTAAAATCAATTTTAATTGTATAATTAAAATTTTTAAAAAAAACTTAATAAAAAAAAAATGATGCATTTTTATTTTTTTCTGTAATTTAATTTTAATAATTTAAAATATTGTAATTATGATTTTGTTTTTTTTTTTTATTTAATAAAAAAAAGTTTAGATAATCATTTATTATTAATTTAATTTATTATTAATTTTAAGAAAAAAAAAAATTATCATTTTTAAATAAAAAAATAATCTTGTTTTATAATGCTTTTTTTAAATTTTATTTATTTATAAAAAGTAAAATAATAATATATTTAGAATTTCACTTTAATACTTTTAATAATGATTTTTTATAGTATAATTTATTATCATAATAACTAAAATTATAATTCAAAATATTGAACTCTTTCTGATAATCATATGGATCAAATTTTTCAAGAAAAATTTTCAGTAATATTTTATAAAAAAATGACTTTTTAGCATAATAACAGACTTGTAGTTAAGTCAAATAACTTATTAACAATTCTAAAAACAGTTCTTTGTTTAATTTTATAAAAGTAACTCTAAAAGAATATAATACTACTTTACAGAAACTTTAAGTTTTTCAAGCAATATCATTTTGATATCATTTTGATATTGATTCAATATCAATTTAATATCGATGCAATATCAAAATAACATATATTAATTTAAAGTTTTAAACTATTTATAAAACACCAATAATGCTTAGTTTTGGTTAAAAAAAATTAAATATAAAAATTAAAATAAGATAAATTTATAAATAAAATTTGAAGATAATTGGGGTCTTTGCAATAGAAAGGTATGAAACTCAAAAAATATCAAAAATTAAATTAATATTAAATTTGCATTAATTTCAGTAAAAAAACATAATTAGCATATAAAGTAAAATTAAAATTTTTTTTGAGTTTCATATCTTTCTATTGTAAAGATTCTATATATTAATATCTGAAATTTTCAATTGGAATAAAATTAATAAATCTATATATTATATGATAAAATTGAATAATCGTACTAAAAATTGATAGTAGAAATAAATATACAGTACATGGTAGAAGTTTAAAACTTTGCATAGATATTCTTTATAATATATATAATTTATGAAAAAAATAATACAATATTTACTTTTATAATACAGGTTTTTTACTTGTAAGGAGCATGCCAGAAATTACATGATTTAGTAAGTGGATAGGGGTCAGGTCCTGCAATCAGGTGTTACAATATACCTTTTATGGTAATAGTATATCTTTTATAGTAAATAATATATAATTTGTTTATTAAGAAGCTTTTTTTGAAATTATCTCACCATTTAAAAGTCCAATTTCAACCAATTTTTTTTGTTTTATAAAGAATAAAGAGAATTACAAAATAAAAAAAAAGTTTATGCAAATTGAATTATTGAATATTAAAATAATTGTATTATAATATAGAGAATATCAAAAAATCATCACCAGTGATTTTTATCAATCACACCCATGTTTTTGATTGATTACACAATTACATCATCATTAATAAATGTTTGTTTGTTTATTATTTTTAGTACTTTTCCAACTTTAATTTTCTTTTTTTTTTTTTTTTTTTTTTTTTTTTTTTTTTTTTTTTATTTCCTACTGTTCTTTTATCTTTTGTTTTTATTGTTACTTTTATTTCCTTATTTTTTCATTTCTTTTCACTTCACTTCATTTTTTTTGTTTCTTTTCGCTTATCCCTTATTTCTTTCACTCCTTTTTACTTTCCGTATTTTACAATAATTCTTGAAGTCTTGTTTTGTTAAACTATGATCGAGTTTCTACTGTTTTCAGACTTTTGTTTATTCCTTCCAAAAATAAATTTTGATATCACATATACAAATGATTAGAAATTAACAAAGAAGTTGGTAAATTTTTTTCTATGTCTTTAAGTGGGCTGAAAATATATTATAAAGGTCTTCATTTTCTTTTGTTCCTTTCACTCCTTTTTATTTTTTTCATTCCTTTTTACTCTCCTTTATTTTTTTCGTTCCCTTCATTTTTTTATCACTTTTTCACCTCTTTTTTGTTTCTTTTATTTTTTTTACTCCACCTTTGCTTCTTTCATTACTTTTTATTTCTCTTCATTTATTTTGTTCTTTTCTTCATTTCTTTTATTATTCCTCATTCATTATTTTTTCATTATATTTTATTTCTTATTCTTCTTTTTATTATTGCATATTATCTTTATTTTATTTTCATTATTTCTATTATTTCCATAAATAAATAAAAAATTGTTAATATTTATATTTTTAATCAATAAAACATATTTTTAATTAATAAATCATTATAAATATCATTATAAACATATAACTTTTAGTATTTAATTTGCAAATAAAAACTTTATTACATTAAATTACTTTAAATAATTTTGTTAAAAAATTACAATAGGTTTATAAAATAAAGTAAAAAAAAAATTTTGGTGAGAATCACCACTGGTAAGATTTAAATACTCTATAATAATATATAGTAATTTATTTATTAAGAAGCTTTTTTGCGATTAACTTACTATCTAGCAGTTAAATTTTAGTGATTTTTTTTTTGTTTTGTAAAACATAAAGAAGTTTACAAAACAAAAAAAAGTTTATATAAATTGGATTATTGGATAGTGAAATAATTATACAAGTGCCGCTCGTTATAATGACATGATGTTCAGAACTAGAGATTTTTGTCATTATAACGAGATGTCATTATAATAAGCTTTTTTTTATAATGACATATTTATAAAATAGTATAGTATGTTGTTATATATTTAATTAAAATTTTGCAATACAGTTTATTATTAGAAATTGCAATATACAAGTATAATTATTTATATAATAACTGTTATTATATTTATGATGTCATTATCTCAAGCTAGATTATGGCTTTATAAAATTAGTTTATCAGAATTTTGTATCACAGTCGTTATATATTAATATTTATAATAATGTCATTATAGCAAGCAAATTTAAATATAGTAAAATTTGTTTTTAATAATTTTGTTGTTATAACCATATGTCAGTTTATTAAGATATTATTATAACAAGCAACACTTGTAATTAAGGTTGCTTGCCAAAATCTCTCCAAAATCCTGCGATAAATTTCGGCAAGATTTTACTATATGTTTACTATAGTTTCGGCAGGGTTTCGGCAGTTTCAGCAAATGGGGTTTCGGCATTTCGGCAAAGTTTTGGCAGGATTTTTAATATGATTTAATATAGTTTCAGCATTTTCTGTATAGGTTTCGGCAGTTATTAAGAAGGTTTCGACAAGCAACCTTACTTGTAATATAATATATATATAATATATAGTAGTGATGTCAGGCGAAATTATTTTTTAAAATCTAAAATATTTCAGATTTTTATTTAATAGTCTAAATTTATTCCGTAACCTAAATCCTTTCTGAAACTAAGATTTATTTCTGAAACCTAAATTTATATCTGAAATAAAAGTTGTTAATAAACTAACCAAAATTAGTTAGAAATTAAATATAACAACAAAAACAAATATGTTTTTATTAAATTTTATATTTTATAATTTTTTATTACCCTTTGTAACATTCATTTTCTTGATACATTAAATCAAAATGATAATAATAAAGTATCTTCAACTAAATCAATATCATATTTAAGGTTGCTTGTCTAAACTTCTTCAAAATCCTACGATTAGTTTTGTCAAAATTTTACTATAGATTTATTATAGTTTCGGCAGAGTTTCAGCAGTTTCAGCATTTATAATAAGTTTCAGCAGTTTTGTCTTTCTCCAAAGTTTCGCCAGTTTTTTAATATAACTTTAATATAGTTTCGGCAGAATTTCACTTTTTGGCGAAACGCCACCTTGCCTAAACCCCTAGGTTTCAGTAAGCAACCTTAATCATATCATTATCTAATAAATGTTGAGTTGATTTTCGATACTTTCCAATTCATTTTCACTACCATCATCACTAGTGCTATTACTATTATCAATAGAACTATTCTCACTATCAACTTCATTATTAGTATCATCATTATCTGAATTCTTATTCAGAATTTTCCCCACTGTTTTCAAATTAAACATCTTTTCAATAATTAAAACCTGAACTATGTGATTAGAAATGTTCAAAATGGTTCTATTTTTTGATTGTGTTTCATTACTATCAATTTTATCATCCTCTTTCTCAAATTGTAAAAATGTTGAATCATTAATCATTTCATACATCTTGTCTTCTGTATATTGTTGACTAATATAAGCAAGTTCATTTTTAATATTAGATATGTAAAATGAACAAATTTGTGACATACTCTTGACTTTTGAAAGTTCTAACCATTAGCGCTGTTTACCATATAACCATCCAAGTGTAGAAAAAACTCTCTCACATCCCGCGCTATGTGGTGTTATGGAAAATATCATTAAGGCTAATTTAGAAAGATATTTATATTTATCTTTAATTGAAAGCTACCAACTCATTGGTGTTTCAAGTATACATGAAGTTGAAATTAAAGCCCAAAAGTAGAAATATTTTGACTTGTGAAGGTCAAAAGTCAAAATTAAAGTCAAAATAGTCGAAATTACATCATAGTCATGTGATTTTTATAATTACAATTTAATATAAAATTTTAAACGTGAATAACTTCATCAATATTGATGCTACAGATATGAAATATAAGTCATTGGAATTCTCTTTATTAGCTGAATCCAATTGCGTAAAGATCATAAAAATCGAATCACTGGATGCGGAGATCGTTAACTTTGAATTTTAAAATTATTGTTTACTATAAAAATTATAAGACTATTTAATACCAAATTTAACTCCATTAATATTAATGCTACAAATATGAAAATATATATCATTGGAATCCTCTCTATGAGCTGAATCCAACTGTGTAAAGACCATAAAAATCGAATCACTGGATGCGAAATTCGTTAACTTTGAATTTTAATATTATTGTTTACTATAAAATCATATGACTATGACATAATTTCGACTATTTTGACTTTTGGAGGGGCTTAAGTTGAAATCATTTTGACCATTTTGACCATTTTGACCATTTCGGAGGTCAAAATTAACCAATTTCAGTTTCATATATAGTTTCAAGACTGCTATCAAACTTTTCATAATATGGATTATGATTTGATTCATAATTGCAAATTTGTGCTAAAAGTCGATTGCGTGATTTTTGGTTACCACCATTATTTAGGTGAATTTGAACGGCAATATCAGTAATAATTTTCCAATATTCTGCTTTCAATCCTCGCCCTAGTATGAATAAAAATCATAAATTTAATTAATAATTATTAATTAAATTATTTTTTAAATTTTAATAAATTAAAATTCTTTAAAATTTAAAACTCTACTAACCCCAATATTTGGGATGTAAAAAATATGCCAGAATATATATTTCTGTATCGAATTTGTCACAATATTTGTTAAAAGATTTGATGCAGTATTGGTAGAATTCTACCATTTCTTAAGAAGGCAACTTTTTAATAATGTTTGCTAATAAAATTAATTGAATGAAACAATCAGCAAGATTTGTACTTGCACTCTCTAATAAAGTGATTGTGGTTTTAATTAGCTTTAAAACTTTGGTTAACTTGTTAACATTTGCAAAGAAATCTGAATTTCGAAGATAATGTTTGACAATTTTATTTGTAATTTCGTCAGGATTGTTTATTAATACCTATAAAATAAATTGATGGTTAATATTTTAAGATTATTTTGAATTTAAATAATAATAATTGAAAAAATTAATAAAATTACATGTTCTAATGCAATTCGTAAATGTGATACTGAACTTGCAGCTTCATACATAGAAGTCCATCGTATTTCAGAATATGTCTTAAGTTCTTCCCCTCAATTTTTAATGTAGCAGTGGCATTAGTCAATAATCTTTCTGCGATATGAGATCATTTAAAAAATGACGTAATTATGTTGCAACCTTTGATCGTTTGTTTTACTAAATTATGTTCTAAAAAATAAACAAAAATAACAAATTAAATACAAAGATAAATAATTTATAATAATTTATAGTAATTTAAATGTACCCATTATATGTTTAGTTATTAAATTAAAGAAATGAGTGATATATTGAAGGTCAATAATGTTCAGAAATTGACTTGTAACTATTTCTTGTGCTTTAACACAGTTCGCAGCATTATCAGTAACTAATGCAGTTACTCTTTCAGGTTAATTTATTTAATAATATCAATGATTTGATCTGTGAGAAATTCTCCTGTATGATGGTCACTTGAATAATCATAGAGCATAAAGATATTATTCCCAAATAGGTGTTAAAATTATATAGTTATAAATAGAGATTCCCCTCAAGTTCGTCCATCTGTCAAGAGCTTTAATAATCAAATAAATAATATTTAAAAATTTGAAAAAATAAATAAAATAACAAAAAAAAAATAATAATTTAACTCACTAAGCGTCAAATTCTCTGAATTTTTAATAACTTTATTAATTTTTTCATTAACCTTCACTGGTCAAAATCAAAACTTTCGACTGTTAAGAACTTTTGGCATAATTTTTGCCGATTAGTCATGTGATTCGTCACATTTTTTGACTAATGGCAAAAATTGGTAAAATCAATCACAAATTGACTGATACTGATTGTTAAACGAATACTTGTTTAGTCTTTTAGTGAAAAATCAACTTATACTGATTGTTATATGAAAAATTGTTCCTTTAAGATCATTCAGTAAAATTATACCAATTGGTCATATAAATCAACACAATTTTGCCAAATTTGCCAAACGGTAAAAATTAATAACTAATTGGTAATAATTCGCCAAATCAGTTGGTAAATAACTGAAATCATCAGATGATCTATATCGACATTTTACAAGTCTTTTAAACAAACTTTTTTAAACTTTTTAAACTTTTCGCTTCCTTCCTTCTCTTTGTCCTTTTCTCTTCCCTTTCTTACACCTTAGTTCTTCACATTGAATTCGGTAACTTTTTATTAAATCAAAAAAGTTTTAAAATTTTCTTTTTTATACTTTATGAAGAAAATCGGTTCTGGTATGAATACTGTTTTCCTAAGTGAAATTTTGAAAGATTTTCAAAACTTTTTTATAAAAAAACGTTTTTTAACAATAAAAAACATTTTTTTTAATATTTTTTTTGCAGAAAATCGGTTCCAGCGTAGATACCATTTTCCAGGTAAAGTTTTGAAGGATTTTTGAAACTTTTTTCAAAAAATACATTTTTATACTAAAAAACGTCTTTTTTATTGTATTTTTTATTTAGGGAATTAGTTCTGGCGTGGATACTATTTCCCAGGTAAAGTTTCAAAAGATTTTCAAAACTTTCTTATAAAAAAAACATTTTTTAATAGTAAAAAATGTTTTTTTTATTTATTTTTGTAGAAAATCGGTTCTGGCGTGAATACCGTTTCCTTAGGTGAAGTTTTGAAGGATTTTTGAAACTTTCTTAAGAAAAACGTTTTATAACTAAAAAACGTTTTTTTAAATATTTTTTTGTTTAGGAATTGGTTCTGGTATGAATACCGTTTTCTAGGTAAAATTTCGGAAAATTTTGAAACTTTCTTAAAAAAAAATGTTTTTTAACTAAAAAACGTTTTTTTTTTGTTTTTTTTTTGCAAAAAAAA